TGATATAGTGTCTTGGCTTGGTCACCGTTTGCGGATTGGTGGAAATCCGGCTTGTTTCCCTTCTTCATGGAGGCCAGTAGCGTGAATTGGGAGACTGTCGACTTTCAGCACACCGATTCCGCAGCAAAAGCACTGTCATAGAGTTTCACACATACCACACAAAACCTCGCCATGGATATCGATCACGTTGCATTTCCACTTGACATGTCAGTCTCAGCCGAGAGAAAAAGCATCGGCTTCATACGCGGCCCGGCGGATCCTTGGAATCGTCGTCCCAGAGCTTGGCCTTGAGTATCTTGCTAGCCATGGCCTCGACATCCTTCTCCGTGTCGTCTTTGGAGACGGCAGCAAGGACCAGCAAGCCCTTGCCAATCGAGGAGATTAACTGGCCATCGACCGTGACTGATGCCGACTTGACCCTCTGCAGCACCGCTAGACACGCTTAGTATAGTCGTGGTTACGTGTGCATGGAGGCGGGGTCCGTACTCCTCATGATGGCGGGGTAGCAGCCGTGGTGAGAGAAACTCGGGTGGCTCAATGTGCGATAGCCTCACGGTGATATGTGCAGCAGCGCAACGACGTCACGCATGGGAATTGCGACATGCGACAATCATGAGACGGGGCTGGAAGAGGGTGGAACGCGTAGATGAAACCAGACGCGTGGGGCCAATCGTGGTGGCTAGTGGCCGCACTCTTGGCGAGGACGCTAGGCCAGCCCTGTGGCATCGCGTTACCTATGCGATACGTCCGCCTCCGCATTCAGCCCACGACAAACATCCACGCCATTCCCCGTCGGACGCCCTCACTCGCGCGATTCGACTATCTCACGGCCGCTGCTACCCCCGGCAACGCAATCATTGCCGTAACCACCGCGAAAGTCCTCACGACGAGGCTCGACCCTCGCCATGGCCGCCCGCAAGCTCCAGCAGGAGATCGACAAATGCTTCAAGAAAGTCGCTGAAGGCGTCGCGACGTTCGAGAACATATATGAGAAGATCATGCAGACGGGCAACCCCTCGCAGAAGGAGAAGCTCGAGGACCAACTGAAGAAGGAGATCAAGAAGCTGCAGCGCTCGCGGGACCAGATCAAGACATGGGCCGCCATGTCCGAGATCAAGGACAAGAAGCCGTTGCTCGACCACCGGAAGCTCATCGAGACAGTAGGCTGACCGCCGCCTCCCGGCATGATGGGACGCTGACATGTGACAGCAAATGGAGCGCTTCAAGGCCGTCGAAAAGGAGATGAAGACGAAAGCATACTCCAAGGAAGGCCTGCAATTAGCGTCCAAAATCGACCCCAAGGACAAGGAGAAGATGGAGATGGTCGAGTTCCTGCAGCAGATGAACGAGGAGCTGGAGCGCCAAATAGAGACCATCGAGACCGAGATCGAGACATTGCATGCCAACGTCAAGAAGACGAAGAAGGGGGACAATTCCAAGGCAGAGCGCGTGGCAGAGCTGGAAGAGTCGGTTGAGCGGAATAAATGGCATCAGGGCAAGCTGGACCTGCTGCATCGAGCGCTGGAGAATGGCAATGTCGAGACGGAACAGGTCAAGGAGATTGAGGACAGTATCAAGTACTACGTCGAGAGCAATCAGGACCCCGAGTTCATGGACGACGACACAATATACGACGACTTCAACCTGCAAGAGGAGGAGGCCATCTTTGGCCTGGGGGAGAACCTGGACCATGTGTCTTCACACGAGTCGCAGTCGATAGCAGACGACACACCCGAGTCGGACGTGCGACCGCCAGCACCCAAGCCGAAAGCGACAGAGGCAGTACAACAACAGGCACGACGGCCCTCGACACAGATGAAGTCGCCATTACCAGCACTAGCAACATTGCACACGCCGTTACCTGGCGTCTCAAATACCACGGCCAACGCGATGAAGCCCGCGCCGATACCGACAAGGACGCCGGGCGAGCCCTTGAAGTACGCCTCGGCCGCCGCTGCTGCAGCCGCGAGCGATAAGAATGGAGTGGGCATTGCTCCTCTGCCACCACCACCGGGAGGGGCCGCAGCACAGTCAGGCCTCATTCCTGGCGGCGCACGGGCAAGTGCAGCGAATTCCCCGGCAATAACACATTCCCAACTGGCCTCGCGCGCGCAGCCAGCCGAATCTGCACAAGCATCGCCAGCTCCCGCGGCAAGTATACCCGTGACGCCTGCTGCGGAGAAGGAGACCCTTTCGCGCGCCGTCTCGTCGGAAGACGCCTCGAAGTTCAGCAGAAGGACACCAGCTCCCGAGCCTGTAGAGGAGGAGGAGTCATCGGCTGCCACCCCGCCGCTAACGAACGGTGATTCTCATGCAGAAGAGGAGGAAGAGGAATCGGTGTATCATCTACCGTCGAGTCTACAGGACCTTCTGGACACGTTTGAGGCGACGAAGAATGACATATCCGCCTCTGCCTCGAAACCTCCAAATGAGCACATGCTAGCAGCATCCATGGCCACCGCGCCGGACTCTGCGGATACTGAGGCGCCGCGCCACTACCGACCCCAGAATCCCTATCCGTTTACGCCCGCGCACTACCCGCAAGAGCCGTTACCCATCTTCGATGATCCTCGCTTGTACTCCCGCATCGAGACCGACGCTCTCTTCTACGCCTTCTACTACCGCCAAGGCACGTATCAACAATACCTGGCTGCAAAGGCACTCAAGTCGCAGAGCTGGAGATTTCACAAGCAATATCAAACATGGTTCCAACGCCACGAAGAACCAAAAGCAATCACTGAAGACTACGAGCAGGGGACGTACCGCTTCTTTGACTATGAAAGCACATGGTAAGCACCTAATTCTGTCCACCAGCCTTACGCGGGGCTGCCGTATTACAAACTCGCGCCACGCCGTGCTATTTCTGCACGTCATACAGTGCTAACCTTATTGTAGGATGAACCGTAGGAAAGCTGACTTCCGATTTGCTTACAAGTTCTTGGAAGATGAGCTATGAGCAGTCGGCTGCTTTCTTCTTACCGACCCGCATGCTCGGCTTGGGGTAATTGAGTTCTGTATTAAGATTAAGTATTAGGTAGTCCTGGAATGGGTCCCGTCGAGGGCAGACAACTTTTGCTCTTCGGATCTTGAATCGTTTCCATGAGGGTATCTTCGGTGCATATTAATCTCCGCCCGCAGGCACCCGACCGACCACGCGAGGTGTAAGTCACGGTGAGACAATTATGCATGGATCAAATAGCACTTATTGAGGCTCACCTGCCAAGTGCAGGCCCTCCGCCCGCGACAATTTGGCCGTCCAAGGATGTTGTAGCGGTCTGAGCGCCGGGCGTAATCTGACATGATGTGGCTAACGGCTGCGGAATGTGCTCAATTGGTCCAGACGACGTTACACTGGGTTCCGCCCCCAATCGGTGGAGCCTACAGGGCTGCAGGAGGAGGCTGGTCGCATGTCACTGGCCGCCTAAGCGAAGAATCCTTCCGCGACGTTCAAGCTTCAGTTACGCCCCGTTACGCCCGGCAGCACTAACTCGTGCATGACTTTGAGTTGAGCGGTTACTGCATCAATCATTTTACGGCATTCGTGCGCCGGTCCAAGTCCATCGGGTTGCGGGTTAATTGACCCACTTACAGCAGCAGCAGAGACAGACGAAGACAGGACGCGAGATGGGCGTTTGATGACGGCTAACCTACTTGGAGACGGGCGGTCAAGCAATGTTTGATCTCAATGCGTTTCGAAGGCATGTTGTCATCACAAGTGCTCTGATAATTTCAAGCGATGAAGTGGTCGGGCGCGTTACCGAGAGCCAGCTGGAAGAGCCTGGAGCATCGCGAAACGACCATGTCAAACATGATAGACCTCAGGCCGATCGCTAGGCTCCAGGCCACGTTCTGCAGCGTAGCAGGGGTTCGTTCCTACACCGCGGAACGAAAGTACGCGAACAAGAGCCACGCATGCACATCCAGTCACACGGGGCCCATCGACCTACCCGCATGTGTGTTAATCGGTGAACCATGCCTATCATATATCCCGGTACACCAAGATCAGAACACCAACGTGTACGCATTGGACTATTCTAGCTATTTGCCTTGCCAAGCCATGACAACGACAAATGAAAGAGATGGTACTGTTCAATTAAAGTTGGATCGGGGCCTAGGGGTACTCGCCCTGCATCGCCATAAGACGACACAGATCTACCAGTGTCCTCGTTGTGCTTCCTACCTCTACACCTAGACCACTATTTCACCGCCTCAATTCTCCCACAGCATACGACAACATTAGGCCTTTTGATTCACCCGCGCCGCGACCAGACCCTACAGTTCCATTTTCCGGTGACGGCACGGACACTAGGTCGTCAGCCCTATACCGATTAGTTGTGTGGGGTACCACCAAGCTGGTACTGGCTTCGCCTCGCCATCCTACGCATCCACCTCAGCAATCTTGGACTTCTATATTCACACATTTGGCCTCTGGCGTAGCGGTCCTTGTACAAGGAGATCGCAACGCTTACCAAAGACGCGATCGTCAAGCCCTGTCGAGCGAATCCACAACCTGATCCGACTTCTCGCCTTACGACACTTCTAACTTTGTTTCGTCATCGCCATGTTGGCACACTACGGCCCTCAGGGAGATGGCTTTGGGCGCCCGGACGGTTCATTCCCTCCGAAATACCTGTGAGTCGATGCGGTTCTTGAGGGTCTATAGCATAAGCTCTGGGGTGGCAGTGAAAGGTCTTTGCCGATATGAGGGAACGAGTTATCATGCTCGCTTCATATAAGACTCGAAAGCATGCCAGGATAGCAAAAGCAACAGCATCATCAACGACAACTTCTAACACCGGTTTCATAGATCTCTCGAGCAAGTTCAACTGCGTCCTCGAAGACATACTTCCGTCTCTAGCACAAGAAAGGCATCCAGACCAAACAAGCTACGCATCATCACTTCGCCCGTGGCGCCCGTCTATCGCCCTTCTAGCACTACAAGCCGTACGAAGAAGACGAAGACGATACGCCCGAAGCAGGAACAACCGCCTTCGCCCGCCATGTCCGGATACAGCGTAAGTCAAACTTAATCTGTTCATCGTCACTTGCTTTGACTAACAACACCAGTATTCCTCTTCTGACCAAGGGAATTACAACTATCAAACGTCCTACCCAGCTTCATCAGTACCTCAATACACACAATCCCAGATCAACACATACTACGCACAGTATCAATGTTACCCACCTCAACCGTACCAGATTATCCCAGACTACTACGTGCAACCTGTAAATGTTGCGCCGACTGCTGGCTACCAACAGCCAGTAGCCAGTGGGTATGACGTTGGAGGTTGGCAAAGTCACGGCGGTGATCTAGGGATGAGTTCTTCGCAAGTTCCGACTAGGTGAGCATCTTTACATCGAAACTTGGTGTTGAGATACTAACATCAAAGCAGAAGCAGCAGTCGAACAAAGTAATTACCCAATCTCCCTTCCCCATCTCATCCACTAACCAATCTCCCCCAACAGAACATGGACCTGCGAGATCGCCTCCTGCACCTCCTCAGCAAACTTCACCCGCCTCGCAGACCTGCAACGCCACCAATCCACCGTCCACGGCGTCGGCACACCAGAGTACCCCTGCAACGTACCGCGCTGCAACCGCGTAGGCGACAAAGGCTTCACACGACGCGACCACCTAGTCGAGCACCTCCGCAACTTCCACCACATGGACATTCCCAAGCGGAGACCAGGGGAGCGGAGCGCCTTCCCCTTTGGATGGCCTGAAGGAGGTGGCGCGGGAGGATCTCACCAGTGAGTCTACTTCACGTATGGGAGGGAAGCGGGGGTGGGATGGGAAAGAGGAGGCGCTGATTGGGGTGTAGGGTTGACGTGGGTACGAGGGAGGGGGCGGGGGGCCAAGAACAGGGCGAGGGGAGAATTGGTCAGCGTGTACGAAGTGGTGGGAGTGGGATTGTACGAGCACCCGTTACTTCGAAGACGTCAATGATGTCGACAACGTTAACGAGGAGTCATACTACTACTGCTGTCACACGCGGTAGGGTCGCCAAACGCCCGTCAAGGAGAGGTGATAGAGCGGGCGGTAGGAGCAGGGGTGCGAGTTCCAGTGCAGGCATCAGTCGTTTGAGCGCTCAAACTGCATCGGCATCTGCGTCTTCTGCAACAACGTTATCCTGGTTGGACGTCCCGCAAGAGCAAGGCTTGCATTCTTCGTTACATCAACATCAACATCCGCCTCCACCACCACAGCATCATTCACAACAACAACTACAACGCCATCCCCTCTCCTTCACCAACGCGGAACTTGCCGAACAAGACATCCTGCTTGGTGGGACCGGAGACTTGTTTGCAGCACCGGCCCCTGACCCGGAGACATTTCACAGGCGGTGAGGCTACACGTCGACATGGCATGGCATGGCATGGGGTTTCGGTTAGAGTATGCGGTATGTGCATTGATCTCTCGTTTATTTGCGTCTTGGTTATAGCATCGTTTGCACAGTTTGTTTAGAGATCTTTGTTTGATTTTTGTTTGCATAGCATCGCATGGTTCAGGGCATATACATACATGATTCAGGCTAGGAGAAGACTAGAACGGCTAGAACCGGAGAGGCGCTTTGGGAGTTTGTTATTCTATTTTAGATTTGTCTAGCTTGGTCGCTCGCTTTACAAACAGAATATATATCAGAGTTTTTTGTTCGTTGATACGATGTTGTTGATCAATCGGGCCGGATGGCAAGACATAGTGTAAGCTTGTACATTGTCTATACGAGCAGACCAATCTCGATTGCGCAAGCAGCTATTCTGACGATCGTGCTGTCTAGGCAGGTACACTTCCTGCCTACCTCTACGCGCATTGGTTGCCTAAAGACGTTAGTCAGCGGAGGGTGCCTTTGGACATCGTGACATCGTGTCTTCGAGGAGCTGCAAGAACGTTGACCGGTGCCCTGGCAGGATTGGCATCCTTGATGCTTGCTCGTGATCCTGCTCGCGTATTGCGGAGGATCCAGATGCGGGTTGCCTACGGACTCGCCAACAGTTGCTGTTTGTCGACTAGACAGGTGTGTTGGTGACTGCGCCGCATAAGCCTCGCTTGACCTGTCCATGCTCCCCACAGCAGTCGCATTGTCTTGTGCGTATGTGTGTGCGTGTGCGCTTTATTACCAAGCTGACGTCGATGCGAAGGGGGATGTACAGGGGATTTGGAATCCAACAATGAGGATGCATGAATGATGTGCATTCAACCCGAAGGAAGGGGTTGCGTGCGTGGCGGCTTGGTACTGTGCCGCATGAGCCTTGCAGGCTTCTTCATCTCCCACGTTGCGGCGTCTGCCTTGGTTGCCGTCTACCGTTACGTCGGTGACGGGTATGTTCGGTTCACAGTCCTGCAATGGAGATGCCGGGTCGCAAGAAGCACTGCTTTGATGGTGAAGTTCTGGGGGTTAAGACATGGGTGCCGTGGTGCCGAGACCAACATTGCCGCTGTCATAGATAAGCCGATGCCAGGTGAAGCGAGACGCTCACTCACCCAAAGCACACAAGTTCGCAGACCGTATGCACAATAGACTGAGCTTGTGATAAGGTTCTGTGCCGCATCCATGACCAACCCTAACACCTATGTCCGCGGCGCATCGGTTGCCAGATGGAGATTAAACCCGAGGCTGAGGTCGAGGTCCAGCAACACGTCTCAGCCCGAGCCGCGGGGAGCGATCCGCTGCTGGCACAGTTCTGACTCCACGTGGTTGTGCCGCTTGCAACACACGGCGGGCGTGGGGCATTTGGCCCCGTGATCCTGCTGTCTATTCATATCCATCGAGAGGTCCTGCGGTGCACCAAACGGTCGTGGGTTGCGCGAACGCTGTCTGCGCCGCAGCTATTTCCAACGCTGGGCGGGTCGATTGTTGAGCCGCCCATCGCAACAACTTGAGCCTCAATCATGTCTTAGAAGGCCTGATCGGTCATCGGAGGAATGTGACGCCAAGGTAGGGCTGGGGGATGGTCGCACAGTAGATGAGATGCTGTGTGCATCGCCCTCGCGACCGGTCCGTCGATGACTGTGCGCGGCTTCCTTCCGAGTGTATAAATAGTCGTTCAGGCCTTCAAGGTGAAGATCAAGTCTCCGCCATGCGAGCTAGGTGCTCTGGTACCTTCAAAGACATGGACGTGGACGAGCCAATCAGCGATGCGGCCATTTAGCTTACACATGATCGTCGCGAAGCGCTGGGTGTTTGCTGGATAACGGTAATTGCTGATTTACTACATACTTCGATATTGCCGGAAGGTAGGAAGAAAATTAGTAAACATTGTCTGGAAGGAGACAGAACTGTAATGACGTAGGTCTTGGTTAGCGCACTTTGGGCAGCCATGGAATCGGGAGAGGTCGTATGGATGGATGAACATCTGACACTTGCAAGTTGCCTCCTGCACCACCAAACGTCCTCGTACCTTTGCAACCTATACCTTGGTTGACTTTTGCTCTGACTCATACTCATGTCTTTCACACCGCACTTATATTTCTACACAATCGAGTTCACAGAGTCTTTACCGTTTCAATAACTGCCTTCACCTTGTTTTCCCCGCAGTCCAATCTTGGTTCCGCCACACCGAGCAAACTTCAGCCTCTACAGGCATATATTATAGTTTCACCAGAACTCTATCAGCCATAGCCCAACATGCGCGATCTCCGAAAACAGGCTCTCGAGAGCCATAAGACTATGTCGCGCAAGGCCCGCTCGCGCGTCGTATCCACGACAGCCTCAAAGACAACGTCGGCAGCAGGCTCGCCAGCACAGTCGCGCGCCGCCAGTCGCAGTCGCCAGGACTCTTCAGACGAAGACGGCTTCAGCGACGGAACTGTTTGGAGGTGAGTTTCAGTCTGCACATAACTTTTTTTGGTTTTCCCCACATCGCGACTACACCGGTGACATCATCGCGTCTAGCCATCCTCGCGCGAACATGTACTGACATCCTCACAGCACGGCATCCATCGACGATGTACTCAACGGCGAAGATATCAATATACCTGAAGACGCGTGGAAGGCCGAGCTCAACACGCGCATCGAACAAATCACCAACCTCAAGCGCAGCAGCACCGAGGGGCGCACCGAAAGCCTGAATGCCTACGCACACGTACTCATGGCCCGCTATGCGAGGGATGAGGTTGAGGGACATGTAAACGAGCTGGTCTCGTCGATGATTAAGAGCATCAGACAGGAGACGACGGAGGCCGAGGTCGTCAAAGCCCTGAAAGGTATGTACATGCGCGAACACTGGAGATAGGACTCTATTAACACTCGTCAGCACTCGCTGTCACTGCCGTAACCCTCGATTCCGATAGCATCTACGACGACGTTTCCGACCAACTCAAGCGATCGATACAATCCTCCTCCTCAGTCGCCATCAAAGTGAACGCGATCCACACGCTCGGCACAACTGCCTTCTTTGCTGGTGCCGGCGACGATGAGATCCTGGACATTATGAACCTCTTCATTGAGATCATCGAGTCAGACGGCGCATCAATCGACGCCCAGGACGAGGGCAATGTCGTGATTGCTGCTTTGGAAGAGTGGGGTCTCCTCGCAACCGAGATTGATGATCTGGAAGAGGAAACGGAAGCTGCGATGGAAGCCTTTGTCGAGCAGCTTGAGAGTGCCGACTCTGGTGTTCAAATTGCAGCAGGCGAAAATATTGCGCTCCTCTACGAAAAGTCTCTCACTCCACAAGAAGAGGACGAACAGGTGCAGGAAGAGGCAGACTCCGACGACCCAGAGCACGTCCGCGACGGCGAGAGATTAGTCAAGCGCTACACAGTCTGGCGACGACAGGATCAGCTCATGCACACGCTCGATGAACTCGCCAACGTTTCGACACGCCGCATATCCAAGAAGGACCGCAAAGCACTACACTCGTCTTTCGCAGACATCCGCAATTCGGTTGAGAAGCCATCGCGCGGCCCCGCATATTCCACTGCTCTTCACGAAGAGACTGGCAAGGCCTACGGAGCGGGCAGGATGAAGGTCAAGATCAACAAGAATGTCGAGGTCAGAATCGACAAGTGGTGGAAGTTGCAGAGGCTGAACGCACTGCGACGGACACTGCAGGGTGGTTTCACCTATCACTACGAACACAATGAGCTAGTATCGACAGCTCTCCCTTTCTCCATGTCGGCAAGACGATAATGTTGTGCGCATAGAGATCATATTTTGGCGTTGGCATCAGCTCGAAAAGTGCTTCTATTATTACACGCGTGGATACCTGGTTGTAAATGGCGTTTTTGAGCTTACTATTATTTTCGGAATGGATGAGATCGGTGGGCAAAGAGGAGTAGATTTGCGCCTGGAAGTCTAATAACACCAAGATGCATATACCATGACAGTATTACTGACCGTTCGGGTGATGTTTGCGAGTTTAGCGCTGAGGCTTGCCGTGTAGCTTTCGGAGTGTAGCTAAGACGAAGCCCGGTCACTGCCCCGCGTTGCCCCTCATCGCGAGCATCATGTCAATGTTTACAAGACACAACAAGCTTAAGAAAGCTCCTTTACCAGTGATTATGCTGTCAAGACGAACCATGTTGTTGTACAAATATAGTGAAGTCTCCTTAAAGAATCTGGTCAACCTGGTTGCGCCTGCCAAATGTCGTACGGATGTGTAAAGGCGGGCTTGGCGCGGCATGAAGCTGTAGGCTGTAGCTTCCGTAGAAAGTTCTGGACAGCTATCACCGTGCTTTTCTTCAGCCTCGCACATAAACTCCGACTCCTGCAACTCTGTCGATATCCTCAGTGCTTGACCATTGATATCCTT